TCTTTGATGTCATTTCACAATTTGTCTGGTCCTCATTCATTGGAGTTCAGTGCATTAAATCTGTTTTTAAGACGGCTTTAAAACACAGTTTAGATAGACTCATGATCATATTTTGATTCTCATGGATTTATTTTAATTTTTTTCAACTTCAGTTTGAACTTGCATATGAGTATTTGATGGTCTGTTCCACAGTCAGCCCTGAGCCTGGTTTTGACTGAAGATATTGAACTTTTCTAACTTCTCTTTCCACAAATCTGATCAATCTGATTCTTGTGTAATCCAAGAAGTGAAATTCATGTACATAGTTACTGTGGACTTTTTAAAATATTTGCAATGAATAAATTATTCACTGTATAAAATTCTAGCATTCAACATCCAGCTTTGTTATCAAGGCCATATTTTCGAGCTACTTCTTTGTTTCCAACTTTCGCATTCCAGTCACCAAGTACTGATGATTATCTATTTTGACTACATGTTTCATCAGTTTACAGCTGTAAAAGTTGGCAGAAATTATCAGTTTTTTCATCCTTTGTTTTTGTGGTTGGTGAATGTATTTGAATAATGCTTGTATTAATAGGTCTTCCTGGTACGTGTATGAGTAGTATCCTATAACTCACATTATTGTAGTTCAGGATAGATCTGTCCATCTCAGCTTACTAAAGCATAAGATATTGATTTTTTGAACTTTATACATCCCTATTCCAATTATTATTGGAGATTTGCAGCTCTTCTCATTTTGAGTCTTATTACATTAGTAAAGGAAGGTTGTTCCTTGTGTTAAAGCTTTACTCTAGCTGTATCATGATGGTGGACTCTACTTGTAGAAGGTAGCACTTCTCCATCTGTTCCATGGAAAGGATGGGAAATTTCCTCCTATATAATTTACTGACCCTGAAAATCCACTGGAAGGTCACCTATGGATCAGTTCCAATTAGATGGTACACAACAATAATGCTTGGAATGAAACAGTGAGGAAGAATGGAGTTGTATTCATAGTAAAAAAAGTCCATTTCAGAATCCATTCTGAAGTAAAATGCTGTGAGCAATAGGATTCTATCTAAGTGGATACAAATTACCAGCAACTAAAGTCAAAGATGAAGAAATTGAGGATTCCTACCAAATTATGTAGTCTGAAATCAAACATACTATGAAGATTCGTTAATAATAATTAGTGACTTGAATGCAAAAGTTGGAGACAAAAAAGAGAGAATGATAATAGGAAATTATAGATTGAGTGACAGAAATGAGGCTGAGAATTTAATGACTGAATTTTGTACAAGAAATTATTTATCCTTTGTATATACCTTTTTCAAAAAAGCACAAACAGCATCTGTACACATGTACCTCACCTGATGTAGTACACAGGAATCAGACTGACTATATTTGCTGCAAGAATTCTTGGAAAAGCTTATCTCGATATCAGAAGTCAAAACCCAGCCAGTTGCTGACTGTGTTTTAGAAAAGTCTAACCATCATTTACTCACATCCAAGTTCAAACTGAAGTTGAAGAAAATAAAATTCCCCCAAACCAAAAAATGACCTTGCAACTATCCCACCTAAATTTAAAAGTCATCCCCAAAACAGGTTCAAGGCTTTCAAGTTCTCTAATTATCAAAGGCCAGTTGAGATGTGGGACATCAAGAATATCATAAAGAAAACAAAAGAGGAGAAAAGCATACTCATTCAGTAGTATATTTAGATATTATCACATTGAAAAAATAAATTAGTATTTAAAGATTATCATATTTTGGAAAAAATAAATTAGTGAGCTGGTTTCTGATTAAATGACCTTTTGAGACTTCTCAAAATATAGTGGAAAAAAAATAGGTGATCCAAAAAAGGTAGGTATTTTTCAATTGACATAGAAGTTAATTACTGTATTAACAGTAACTCTTACTGAGATCAGCATGTGAAAAGTGGCACTTCTTGGAGCATTCCTAGGGTGTAAACAGTGCTGCTAATCACCTTCCAGCTGAAGAAAGGAGGTACTCCCTGAAGACTCCTATTCTTAGGGGATAATCGTGTGGATAACAAAAATAAAGCTGATAAAGCTGATCAAGCCAGATCACTGGCTTCTTCATTATGATTGGGAGAGAAAACTGCCATGGTAAAGTTTACTGACTTTACTCCCTTAGGCTCCAGAGAGTGGAGAACTAAAGTTTAACTGACTTGAGTTGTTAAATAGAGATTAGAGCAAACGGATTTTGGATATGTGAATTCTTAGGGAAATCCTAGCTTGTTAGCCAGAAATCTCTGCAATAAGGAACATATTTCATTCCTGAGAAAATATCTCTAACTTTTGTTTTTCTATTTTCTCAAGCAAACTAGAGAAAATCTTACTAAACCAATTGGAAAGTAGTAGATACTGGTATTCTTATACTGAAGAAGTAGAAGACTATTCATGCTTATGGTGATCTGAGTTCAGCTTCTTGCTTCAACGCTAGTATCCCTTGAAATTAGACAATACAGATTCTGAAAATGTCCTAGAATATATGAGTCAGAAAAATCTTTGAGAAGCTGATAGCAAACACCACATGAAACAAAGTTTAAACTAAGTAGAAAGTGCTCTAATCCAAAGGAAAATGAATTTCCTAGATCTCACTTCATGTTCTCTGATTTAACAAACTCAAGCTTTTTTTAAAAAATTTTTTTCAATAAAATAAGACTAAGAAAGTTTTGGAAGGTAATTTTAGTATGTTTGTTTTTATGATAGTATGTAGAATACAAACTAGCCATTTTTTGTGACTTGTGAATAGTTCTACCTTAATCTAGATTCAAATTTTTAAAAAAATGGAATTGCAAATGAAAACTAAATCAGAGGATACTATCCTTTGGCTTTTTATTCATAATTTCAGATCCAAGAGGGCCAGTTTTGGAAAAAAATCTTTTTTCTTTTTATTTCCCCCCCCCTCCCCCCCAGGACTCTTTCTTGACCAAGGATTGGAAATAAGGGACACATGAAATAAAGAAGTTACATAGTAATGAGGTCACCATATTAGAATTTCTTTCTATGGAAAGACAGAGGGTTTTGAAATGTGTGTGTTTACAAGGAAAAAATATTGATAATGTTTTTAATAAATTAGTGATTGTAAGGAATGGACAGCTTTACGTTGGGTCATTAAATATAAATATGATGTGTGTTTGTTATGTTTTGTTGGGACTTTTCTTTGTAGCTTTACAAGTAAACATACAATATGATCTGAGATGGAGTCAGAAGACATAAAATTTGCAGCCTCTGGAAAAGAGACCTAAATGTGTACCCACCAGATTTTACCCGAGACAAAGAAGGTTTGGCAAAATAGACCACAAAAATGACTTAATCTTTAATAGATTATAAATTAAAATGGAATATTTTTGACAGATTTAATTTTAAATGAAAAATTATCTGTGTTAGTTTTCATCTTTGCATTGTGTAAAACTTCTATCAGAGACAGGGTTATAGAAAAATATTGCTGAATTAATATTTAGTTAGATACTCATAGAAAATTATAGTAAATTAAATCAATAAAGTTAGCAAACTGACTTTTCCTATTTATTTGAAAAAATACTACTCATGAATACAAATAGTCACTAGAAAAATACTTTTATGCAATAAAAAAATTATAAATATGGTCTTTATACAAGTCTACAAAATCATTCAAATGATCTTCAATCAATCAATACCTTGTACTATTAGAAATATCATCATTGTTTCTCACTTGTATAATTTAAGGAAAAAAATCATATGTGTACATTCAGCAATGAGTTTTCAAATAATGGATTGCTTCTTAAACTATGTGATGATGAAAGATTATTTAGCAAATTTTCTAATCCAAAACAAATAACTAGTTTCTAAAATATCATATAAAGTTGATATTAAAGCAATAAGAAAATTAAGCATATAAAATAAGACTATAAATTTTGTTATTAAAGAAAATATAATTATTCAGCCAAATTCATAGAATTTTCTTATTATTACTTTCAATTTATATAGTCAATTCTACATACGAAAAACAGCACATTCTCTCACAAACATCAAAATAATCTATTAACCATTGTTGTAATGTATATAATTGTTGATAAAGGCAGATAGATATTTCCTGGAAGGATTTATATGATTATGGAGCAAGATAAAAATCTGCTAATTATTTAAAGAATTAATGAAATTATTCATAAGAGTTTTTTATTCACTTATTGTTGCACATTTTTCCCCCTCCTCTGCCTTCCCCCTCCCCTAGTCTTGTTCTAGACTGTTGTCATACTCTAGATTAAAATTGGAATTTGTTTTCAACTATGTAAACAACGATAGATATAGAAAGGCTTCAGGTCTTAGTTCATAGGGTTGCTATGAGACATGCTCAACTCTAAGGCAATCAACAACAACAACAACAAAATACCTGGAGAATTTTATATACAAATAAATTACTATGTATCAAATGCTGTAAAGGTTACCCATGGTGAACAGTGTTTGGTGGAGCTCCCCAATTAAAACAAGCTTGGATGCAGGAGTGGTATCCACTTTGGAAATAGCTTGCCTCTGGAAACTCTATGAACTTGGAGAAATGATAAAAGTTTATAAGGTTTCACGTCTTTCATTCATTGGGTCGCTATAAATTATCTATGACTGTACGGTACTTAACAACAGCAACAGTTAGAGATTCAGATTATTAAGAAATAGTATTTAATCTTATCTTAAAAACAGAATCATTTTAACAGAAAATTTTCATGAGACTATATTTATGAGGTGAATTGATTCAGTGACTGGGGTAATCAGGATAGGCGTGTCAGAGGCAATGCGATTGGCACAGGATAGAAAAGGGTTTAGGGCTATTGTACATAGGGTCGCTATGAGTTGCAAACGACTCGAGAGCACATAACAACAACATATATACTAATTCTATTTACATAAATCTGCTAATTCCAAGGCATACACAGTAAGAAAAATTTTAAAAAGTCATATATTAACATTTATTTCTTTTGGAATACTTTTCATTTTAGGCAAGGTGTGCAGATCTGGCATCATGTTTCCTGTCAACAGCACCAGCTATATTTTCTCCACCTTTCTCGTGACAGGCATCCCTGGATTAGAGGCTATTCACGTCTGGATTTCCATACCATTTACTGTCATGTTCTTCATTACTTTGGTGGGTAATCTGACAATCTTGATGGTTATTTGGAGAGAGCACACACTCCATGTGCCCATGTACCTTTTCCTGGCTATGCTGGCTGCATCTGACCTGGGTCTGTCTCTCTTCACCTTCCCCACCATGCTGAGAATCTTCTGGCTGAATGCTCGAGAGTTGAGCTTCTCTGCTTGTTTTACTCAGATGTTCTTCATTCATACCTTCCAGGATTTTGAGTCAGCTGTCATACTGGCGATGGCCTTTGACCGGTATGTGGCCATTTCTCATCCATTGCACTATTCTTCCATCCTCACTAATAGTGTAATTGCCAGCATAGGTTTGGCCATTTTCGTGCGAACCTTAATTGTACAAGTGCCCCTTCCTATCCTCTTGAGGAGGTTATGCTTTTGTCGCTCCAATGTGCTTTCCCATTCCTACTGCCTACATCCTGACATCATTAAGCTCTCCTGCTCCAACACTAGGATCAACAGCATCTTTGGATTGTTTGTGGTACTTTCCACCATGGGACTTGATTTTCTTCTCATTCTCCTTTCTTATGTGCTGATTCTAAAAACTGTACTAGGCATTGCGTCTCATGGTGGCCGTCTAAAGGCCCTCAACACTTGTATTTCCCACCTGTGTGCTGTGGTCCTCTTTTTCACCCCCATGATCTGCCTGTCTATGTTACACCGCTTTGGCCCAAAACTCCCTTCACACATTTATGTGCTCATGGCCAACATGCATTTTCTCATTCCTCCTGTAATGAACCCCATTGTTTATGTGGTGAAAACAAAGCAAATACGAGATAAAATTCTGAAAGTCTTCACCATAAAAGGTCCTGGAGAATCCAGAATCTCCTTCATAACATAGTATCATAAATGGAATACTAAATGGTCATTAATTTGACTCTTTCATCTAAAATGATATTTCACGTCTTTCTTTACCTAAGGAGAAAGAAAAGTATAACATCCTAAACAAAACCCAACCCAACCCACTGCAGTTTTAGTCGATTCTGACTCACCATGACCCTCTGTTAGACTTATGAGACTGTGAATCGTTATGGGATATTATCCAACCTTCTTCCATAGAGTAGTTGGTGGATTTAACTACTGACCTTTTGGTTAACAGTACTACATGACTTATTACACCATTAGGACTCCTGGAGTTCACCCTGAAGGAAAGTATTTCTTTCCAAGAGGTTTTCTTGATATTTTAAATATTTAAGTAGGGAGTAGCAGAAAAAAAAAAAAGAAATACACTATATTGATCTTTAGCATTTGGTCCTGTCTTCCAAACAGATTGTTGTAAGGGGCCATTGAGTCGAGTGCAAATTATAGAAAGCCTATGAACAATGGATCAGAATTTTTCCCTAACCTGTTCCATCTTTACTATCTTTGACATACTTGAATTTATTGTTACAGTCACTGTGTTAAACCATGTTGCTGAGGATTTACCTCTTCTGTCCTGACCCTTCACCTTTCCAAACGTGATACCCTTTTCCAAGGAAAGGCCCCTCCCAACAACATTCCTAAAGTATATGAGACAGAGTTTCACCATCTTTACCTTCAAGGAGCACCCTAACTGCACTTTCTCTAAGACAGCTTGGTTTGTTCTTTTCGCAATTCCTGAGATAGACGGTATTCTTCTCCAACACCACAGTTCAGAGGCTGCTCATTGTCTAACTTTCAGATGCATAGCAAGTAATTGAAAAGACAATGGCTAGAATCAGGTGCACTTTAACCTTTAAATGGGCATCTTTACTCCTTAGCACTTTGGAGAGAACCTTGACTGCAGACTTTCCCAACAAAATCAATGTTTCTTTTAATTTTTTGGCTGCTGGGAGATGATTGTGGATACAAATAATATGGAATCATGAACAAATTCAATCTGCTTTCCACCTACCATGATGTTGCCTATTTACCCACGATGAGGATTTTGTCCTCTTGAAGTTGAGATGTAACGCAGGAAGCATTTCAAGTACTCCTTGCTTTCACTAAGATTGTGTAATCTGTATTATAATGCAAATTGTTATGAATCTCTCTCTGATCCTATAATCACATTCTTCTTCATAAAGTACAGCTTTTTGATTATTTGCTCAGCATACAGATGTCATAGATGTGGAGAGAGGATATAGCTCTGACACACACCTTCTTCAGGTTTAACCATGGAGTTGTGCCCTTGCTCAGTTCACACAACAGTTTCTTGGTTCAGGTATAGGCTTTGCATGAATACAATTAAGTGTTTTGAGATTTCCATTGTGCTCAACATCAGCCATAACTTGTTATGATTCACATAGTCAAATGCCTTCGCATAGTCAATAAAACACAACTAGATATTGTTCTGATATTCTCTGTTTTCAGCCCAGATCTACCTGATACCAGCAATGATAGATATGGTACCATGGCCCCATTCTAAATCTAGCTTAAATTTCTGGCAGTTCTTTGTACTATTTACTTATTTTGGATAATCTTCAGAAAGATTTTTCTTGTATGTGAGTGAATTTTTCAAACATAAACTATACACACCTGTGACTTTTCTTTTCAATCCTTCAAATCCTCATATTGCTAGAAATCTATGACAACCATCCTTGTTTGCATTCCACATTCACCAGGAACTGCAACTCCTGTGGATTTTCTTACTATTCTATAACTTTTCATATTTTAATTTAGCCTTGCAATGAATATAAATATATTTCTCTTTTCCAACTTTCCATCTGTATTTTTGAGTTTTGATTAAAGATAGTGATCAGATTTTCAAATTATACTGTATAAGCTTTACAATTTATCTACAGCTGAGGATTCATTTGGTCTTTTAGCACAAAGGATAGTGTTGAAATGTTCAGAGCTCTCCTTAAGTCATCTATTATCACTATATCTTCTTTTGGGGGGAAAATTATATTGGTGATTGATGACACGTAATAACAATTATAAATGTACATGCAGTTTTAGGAATTATACAGAGATTCTGTGTATATCTTTGTTGTTTTTGTTGTTAGGTGTTGTCAAGTTGAGTATGGCTATAGTAACCCTATGAACAACAAACTTGAATCCTGTCCTAACCTGTGCCATCGTCACTATCTCTGATACATTTGAGCCTGCTGCGGCAGTGACAATGTCAATCCATCTCAATGGAGATCTTCCTCACTTTCCAAGCATGATATCCTTTTCCAAGGAATAGCCTCTCCTAGCACGATGTCCAAGGTAGGAGAGACGAAGCTTTGTAATCCTTGCCTCTAAGGACCACTCCAGTTGCACCTTTTCTAAGATATACCTGGAAAGGGTTTATTTACCCTTGTTTTTGTTGATTGACATCTAGTCAAGCATGACTCATAGCAACCCTATGAACAGAAGACCTAAACCCTGTTCTATAACTATCATTGTTTCTCTAAGTTCATAGAATTTCCAGAGGCATGTTATTTAGGGAGTGGATGTCATTCCTGCTTCCAAAGGTGTCATAATCTTGAATCTCTATCAAATACTGTCCACCATGGGTATCCATATGGCATTTGATATACCAGTGTCAGCAACCACAGGTTACCTCTGTGTGGCAAATTGATGGACCAAATCTGTATCACTTAGAAGACTGTTCCTACAAAATATTAATACTTCAAAAACACGGGGTGTGAGGGCCTCATGCTCTCGGGCCCAACCAACTTTTAAATACGAAGGCCCTCCACCAAGTCCTATTGACTCTAAATAAAAAACAATCAACCAAACATACAATTTATAATTTTGTTGTTGTTGTTTTTATGTGCCATCAGTCTCCTGCAACTGATAGCAACCCTATGTACAGCAGCTCTGAACCCTTCCCTATCTTGAGCCAGTCTCACTCAATCCAGCACACCAAACCCCATTGCTCTTGCCTAGTTTAATAGTTTACAAGAGATACATCTAGAATATTGACATTAATATAAGTCAAGATCCAGAATGTTACAATACCACATCTTTCATACTGTCCTTTATAATGAAATCTACATCTGTTAAACTCTTACATCTTCTTAACTCTGGCAATCATTATTCTACTCATAATATTTATAACTTCACCATTTCAAGATCAGATCTCATTTTATATTCAAAGGAATAAAAAAAAGACAATTATAAAGAGCCTTCACTTCTTGCTTACATATATAAACTTTTTATCTTGTTTTGCCATCAAACACTTCCTTTCAATCTCAAATAGTCTAATTTTCTTTATTTAAAGAGAAGCAATTATTATGCAGATTTTAATAAATGGCTTGTAATATTATCTGGTTTCAGATAATCTTTTTCATTGTTGTTGTTATGTGCCTTTGAGTCACCTGTGACTCATAGCGACCCTGACAATAGCTATGAAGCCTTCCCTGTCCTGCGCTAGTCTCACTGACTCCAACAAACCTACCCGTATTACTCCAGTTACTCTGCCAATCCATCTCATCCAGGATCTTTCTCTCCCGTGCTGTCCCTCCACCTTTCTGATCATGATGCCATTCTACAATGACCTGTCCCTCCTGGCTATGTGCCCAAAGTATATGAGACAGAACTTCAAAATCCTAGCCTCCAAGGAGAAACTTGGTTTCATCTTCTCCAAGACAGGCCTGTTTGCTCTCTTGGCCTTTCATGGTATGTTCAATACTCTTCTCCAGCACCATAACTCGAAGACATTGATTCATCTTCTGTAATCCTTAGTCATAGTCCAGCTCTCTGATGCACAGCTTGTAGTTACAAAGACCATGGCCTGAATCAGGCACATCTTAGTCTCTAGACTGAATTCTTTGCTGCTCAGTCCTCTGGAGAGGTTCCTGACTGCAAATTTTCTGAGTGCAATTTGTCTTTTGATTTCCTGACTGCTGGTATGAAGAGTGTTGACTGTGGAGCCAAGTAAACTGAAATTGTTAACAACTTGAATATTTTTCCATACCATTCTCTATTTCTAGTTTGTTTATACTTAATACTTTAATTAGAAACTATTCAAAACACTAAAACATTCAAAATACAGAAAATAAAACAAGAAAAGAATCCAGGATATGTTGTTGTTGTTGTTATGTGCCGTCGAGTCGCTTGCGACTCTTAGCGACCCTATCTATGTACAACAGCCCTAAACCCTGCTCTGCCCTGTGCCAATTGCACTGCCTGTGACACACACATCCCAATTACCCCAGTCACCAAATCAATCCACCTCATAGAGGGTCTTCCCCTCCTGCACCATGCACCCACCCTCCCAAGCATGATGTCCCTCTCCAAAGACCTCTCCCTCCTTACAACATGTCCAAAGTATGTCAGACGAAGCCCCAGAATCCCTGTTCCAAGGATATAAAAAAAGTCTTCATTTATCAATGACTCACAGGTCATTGAGATCAGGAGTTCTCAAACTCCTAATATTTATAATCTAATATAATCTATAAATTTGATAGGATACTATCTGTTTGAAAAATATGTAATATTATATACTTTGAAGATCTAAATGTGACAAAAAGAGTTTCTTGGATCAGAACTTCTAGTGTCTGTATGATGACTTAAATATCTAAATATCTAAGAAGAGTAGAACATAACAAAATAAATGGTTGTATACGTTTTGAAGCAGGAGGGGCATACACTTCCTAAACAACATGCCTCTGGAAACTGCATGAACTTTGATAAGTGAAGATAGTTATAGAAAGGTTTCAAGCCTTTTGTTCATAAGGTTACTATGAGTCGTGCTAGACTTGATGGTAAACAATAACAACATGTTCTAGGTATATACCACATGTCCTTCAGAAAAGTTGGCAAACATCAAAAAGGAGTAACAACTAGCTTTTTCTGGCACATACTCTTTTCTCTTTTTTATATATTTTGCTTTGTTTTTAATATTTTTATTGATTTTCATATAATAATACCTTTACAGTATATTTCATTCATATACATTGTTTTATACAATCATTCATATGCATTCTATTTTACATTTTTTAAATACTAGTTTATTTACAAAATTAAAATACATTGTTTTTCACACCAGATCCTTCCAGTTTCCCTCACCCATAAAAATGTACCACCCATGGTTAATTCCCCCCACAAACAACCTAACTCTTCTGCTTCAACCCCCTCCCCTTGGATTCTCATACTCATTCTACAATAATGGTTATATACAGTATTTGTCCTTATGGGACTGACTTAGGTCACTCAGCATAATGCTCTTCAGTCCCGCTCAAATTAGGTAATAATTTTATATTATTGGTTTTAGTAATTACTTTTATATTACTGGTTCATACGAAGTTTATAAAGTTCATATACACTGTGTTTCACCCAGACTTTCCCCCTTTCCTTTACCAATCTTTCCCTCCACACATTCTCATTTCTTGTTGCTTTGAAAGCCTATACCACAGAGACCTGGTATGACCTCCAGGGATCGCCAAGACTAGGGCTTTATAAATCAATTCACTTGGCATTGTGTTCAAGGTAAGGAGCCTCACAGGGCTCCAGATCCACCACCAGTCACAGAGTTGTGTCCTTATTCTGAGATCTGGTAAGTGATGGACATGACTCAGGCGAGGCTATGAAAAACTGGACTTTTCTCGTAGTTGTTGTGAGATGTGAAGCTAGATTGAAGGGCATGAAAATAATGTACCCCATTAAATATGGTTTCAAACTCTATATTAAATTCTCTGAGGTAAAAAAGATAATTGATGAAGATCTAAATTTTTCTTCATGGAAAAAAACATCTCTAGTTACACAGTGGTTTTAGGGGATTGGCTCTTAAAATGCTGACAAGTGCTCTGCAGGAGAAACATGTAGCAGTCTCTCCCTATAAAGATTACAGCCTTGGGAACACTATGGGGAAGTTCTACTTTGCCCTATAGCATTTCAAGAGGTCATTCTGATTCAATGAGAGAGAGAGGTTTTTTATTTGTGTGTACTTCTTACAGATTAGGACCTTTTAAATTCTATGATCCAAATAAGGTAGAAATCTACCAGAAGAGGAAAGTTCAAAATTAAAACAAAGTAAAATTCTTAAAAGTAAGCACCCTGTCAAAAACAGAACTTGAGATGTCCAGAAAAAAACAAGGCAGTCCTACCTTTTTCCGGTGTTCATGGATTTTACCAATGTGTGATATATTCTATGGCTTTGGCAAACCATTCTTTCTCCACTCAGCAATCACTCACTGATTTATTTTAATGGTTAAGATCATGGAGCTCTGTTGATATTGTCCACAGTACACTGACTGACCTGTGAGCCCAAAGATTAAGACAAACTGCAAATCTAACTAAACTATTAAGTGGGGGCACAGGACAATTAACAGGACATGCAGTATTTGTACAAAAGGCATTATAAGAAGTAGATCTCTCATCACACAAATATCACAAATTTTACTGTTCATTCCAGAACAGTTTTCTGAGATAGGGAGTTCTACTTTCTACATACATACTGTATAATAATTTTAACAGTAGTTAGGCAAGATAACCTTGAACACTGTTAAAATGTTTTTGTGAATTTTCCTTGGGGATTGTTCAAAGAAAACAAGTGTCCCCTGCATCTCCAACCCCCACACCTCAGCTCATTTTATGACAGAAGACATTTTACCTAAATTTAATATGCAACAAATAATTCTCCACCTGCTTACTTACAATTGTGTGATACATTGGAAGAAGCAACTTGACAAACACATACTCCTAACTTTTATTAATTCTATCAGGTCCTTAAACAATCATATTTTTAAAGCTTATATTGTGACTTAGCACTAGAGGGATACTCTCCCTGGATCACCAAGCCCTACAGCTAATAGGAAGGTCCTGTACGTTGAAACTTTATCAGATTTGGGGATTATATATTCTATTACTTCTACCCAGATTGGAGCAGTGTACTTGGAAAATAGTGGAGGTTGAATCCTATTAAAGAAATTAGTTGTTATTATTCAATAAGTGGTCATTGTTATTTTTCTTTTCTGTGCTTTTATTTCAAATATTGGTCTATAATCCATAATGTTCTTGCTTCTGTCTATTCAGTCTCTTATTGTGTGGGCCTCTTTCTCTCAAGCAAAGAGCAATTTGCATTTACACTGTGTTTAAGATCTAAATCCTATCCCTGGGCATCTTTAGATTGCTGTAGTTAGGTGCCTTGGAGTTGACTGTAACTCAAAGTGGCCTTAAGATAAAATGTTCTGAACCTTGCCCGATCATGACCTCTGATAGGTTCAAGTCTATTATAACAGTCACTACTTCAGTCTATCTTGCTGAAGTCTTTTTCTCTTTCTCTGATTTTTCATCTTCCCCAGCATGATGTCTTGTTTCAAAGAGTTCACCCTTCTGACAACATGTCCAAATTAATTGATACAAATTTTTAGCATCCTGGCCTATAAGGAGTAACCTAGTTATACATCCTCCAAGATAGACTTGTTTGTCCTTTGACAGTCTATTCAGTCATCTTCTCCAACACCATAGCGTAGACATTGACTCTTCTGTCATCCTTATTCATTGTCCAACTCTCAGATTCCTAGGAAGCACCTTAGTCTTGAAACTAACACTGTTGCTTTTTAGCACTTTGGAGAAGTTCTTAGCAGCAGATTATATAAGGTAAACCTCTACTCTGTGTCTAAGTTAAGAAGTCTCAAGCTAACAATTTATTTTTTTCTGACTTTCCTAAAAAGGTGAAGTTAAAACAGTAGAAACCTGGGGATTGTTCTACTAATTAGAGCTGCCACATAATAGACTGCCCAAGGGATTAATAACATTTCCATCATTATGATAATATTTTTATTATTATTAAAAAGAAATTTCAATCATTTAACATGGAAATCTGGTATGAAGTCTGTAGGGAGTTGGGCTACCAACGTGACATGTCCTTGGCCACTTGAATCCACCAGCTGCTCCGAGGAAGAAAGATAAGCAGTCTCCTGTCCTGTGGTTTACAACCTCTGAAAACCCACTGGAGGGTTTTTGTTATAAGGAAAGATGCCTTCAAACTAGTAAATATAACAATTTCATTGATGCTTTCAAATTTGACAATTTATTCCTTTCTGTAACAATTGTCTTTGTTGATGCCTAGGATGATTATTAGATAATGTAAGCTGTAAAGAGCAGGCTGTAGAGTCACAGCTATAACATTTCATCTGTCCTACTGTTAATGGGCTCCTAAACTAGTTTACTATGTGTTTTATCTTGACCAATAAGTTACTAATTCTTGAAAGACAGGTCTATATATGGTCATTGTATTCCCAAGAATAACTACATAGAAGCTCAGTAGAAGTGGAAAATCATTGAGAATATACCATGGTGTTTGAAGCCACAAATATCGTCTGTTTTTCATCTTTTTCCATTCACATTTCTAAAGCAGACATCTCAAAATTTTGGAGGAATATTTGGTAAGATTGAAATCTTCAAATGTACACATAAATAAAAAGTCATTCCTCATATCTCTTGAACATGATTTTTAATTTTTTTATATCCTGATCTCCTTTCTTAACATGATATATTTGAAATATCAGGGGTTTATAGTCAGTATTATACTTTCAATTCTAATTCCTCAGCCAAGTAATAAGAGTCTATCCAGAACTTGCAGAACTCTTGTCTGTCATTGAAGATTATCTAGTTTATATGCATGCTTCCTATGTGAAATTGTTCAATTTTTTTAAACCTTATATTGTCTTCAAGATGATCAAAAATTTTCTCTAATCTAAGCAGACCAAATATGCTGCTGAAACCGACATAAAGACATCAAAAAGGGAAGAAATGAATATCAACCTTTAGTAGAAACTTTCCAAGAAAATATTGAGCGCAGCTGAGAAGGAAGTACATTATTTTGCTAACAGAAATTATTAGCTTCTGACAAAGAGAGATGCTAGGAAATTTTTGTAAAAGAATAACTTTTTGCTTCCTTTATAATTTATTCAGGTCAAGTCCTTCCCAAGATTTTTATGGCAATTGTTAACAACAGCACCTTCTTATTCATACTGATGGATCTTCCCGGACTGGAGAGTGCTCATTGTTGGACAGCTATTCCTATCTGTTTTATCTATGTTCTTTCTGTGTTGGGAAATGTCACCATTATGTACATTGTCAAGTCTGTGCCCAGTCTCCATACACCCATGTACCTCTTTCTCTCCATGCTTTCAATGGCTGACCTAGGCCTCTCAGCATCCACATTGCCTTCCATGGCAGCTGTCTTCCTCCTGAGTCAGAGGAAGGTGGATGCTGCAACTTGTTTTGTGCAACTTTTCTTCATCCACACTTTCTCTGTCATTGAGTCAGCTGTGCTTTTGGCTATGGCTTTTGACCGCTGCGTGGCTATCCGAGAGCCTTTACGTTACGCCACTATTCTTACAACCAAGCGCATCGGGGCTATTGGACTAGCCATCGTGACTCGGAGTGCTGCCCTCCATTTGCCCCTGCCCGTGCTCCTTGGACGATTGCAATTCCAGCCAATGAATGCACTAGCTCATTCCTATTGTGTTCATCCTGATGTTCTAAGGCTGGCCAGGTCCAGCACTCGTGTCAACAGTGGCTTTGGACTCTTCGTAATGCTCTCCACTCTAGGACTAGATGCTGTGCTCATTCTCTTATCCTATGTGCTAATCTTGAAAACAGTGCTGAGCATTGCTTCTAACGCTGAACGGCTTAAAGCCTTTAACACCTGCATTTCCCATATCTGTGCTGTACTACTATTTTATACCCCATTAGTCAGCCTTTCCATGATCCATCGTTTCGGGAAAAAGAAATTACCAGCACAAGTATATATGCTTCTCTCTTACCTGCACTTTCTTGTGCCTCCAATGCTCAATCCAATTGTCTACAGTGTAAAAACCAAAGAGATTCGTGTACGCATTTTGAAGATGTTACATCGCAAAAAGCTCTGAGCCACTGGGATCAAAGAATGGTGGTGCTATCTCAATTCTATAGAAAGACTACAGCCTGAAGCTATCTCAGGTAGTGTGTAGCTTCCAATAGTTTGTTGGTTAATTGATTCTTCAGAATCACTGATAAAGGACATTGTGGTCTTTTCCTTGACATCAGAACAATCAATGGAGGAGCATGTCTCTGTGTGTAATTTCAGCGCAAACTATAAAAGTGTCAGGCTTTTATATACTCTTGAGGAGAATATTATTTACCTGTAAACGTAAGCATTTTGCAATTGTGAGATTGAATAGGTATCCGAGATCACTACTAAATAAAAATCTAGAAACACAAGTAAGGTGAAGTTATTTCATTAAAATGTATTTTGACAAGTTAGCAAATATATTAAGTAATTAATAAGATATTTTTTCTATTTGCACTATAAATATAGATGTTATTTCACTAAAAAATATGAACCAAATAAAGGCACTTCAGAATTTTAAAATGTATTTAAAAAATAAATATCTTAATGTCTATAATTGATATGTATTAAGCAGTTTAGTATTTTTCAGTATTTGTTAAGGTATCATATATACAAAAGGCGAACAAAACCTCCAATATTCTTTCTATTAAATAAAAATTAAAAATTAAAGCACTTGGCTTATTTTCTGTAGGTACGTGGAAAAATCTGTGCTGTATAAACTACATAGATCTTATACTGTTTGAGTGCTAGACTCCAAGTCCAACTTAATTTTCTTTCAGCCCATTTAGGAAGATTTAAAAGAATAAGATCAATACCTGAGTAGCTACTTTTTATGAAAAAATCACTACTTTTAAAAAAATTATATCAGAACCAAATAACTTTATTTTAATAGTCTTCCACTGTTTCTTTCCTTCTAGACTTTATTTTCAGCTACCTTCTCTGACCGTATCACATTGTTGAACATAACCACAGATAAGTAAATAAATTAAATGTCATGTAATTATTTGAATCACAAAGATAATTTACAATGTTAGGAGAAAGGAAATATATTTTCTATTTCCTTTGCACAGTTATTCATGGAAGTTATATTTATCCAACTTTGTTTGATCATCACCTATTTAAAAGTACAAAACAGATAACAAAACAGAACTGATTTTTGGTGTAAAAAGTTAAATATGTTCAGGAAAATAGACATGTACATTTATAATTTTTTAGCAAAGAATGGGGGGAAATGTGAAACAAACCTTCAAAGTATATTAAAAAAAGAACAGACTTATTGATCTTATAGAGACTGGTGGAATTCATGAGAATATGGCCTTTTATTTACACTTTATAGCCTTAAGTTATCCTGCCAGTCTATATCAGAAGTCATTCCACGACTCACCTTAATAATAAATTTGAACAATATTAATTAACAGGTCTTTGTTGAACATGTATTGAGATTATCACATCACTGATAGTACAGTACTTCATGATAGATTTTAGAATGGTCTTTTTTGAAGAAGGTTAAGGTGCCATTCCTATTCAAAGTATCATTCTCCATCTAGTAGACAACATGATTGTGATTCAGAATGGCCAATACCAGTCTATAGTAGCTCTCCAATGCCTAGAATTTTTGTCTTTATGCATTTCATTTTTTGAGAACCTCCAATTTTCCTAGATTTATAGATCACATTCCATATTTGATAAGGAAAAAAGAATATGGGTGAGTCAAGAGTCATGTTAGGACTCACCTCTGTCTAGACTTTAAACTCATACAGTGTGAAACTTAGAGATCTTATGACTAGATAGATTAGGAGCGTGACATTTCTTTATCTCAGGAATCTGGCCAGTTCTTCAGAAAAGATCCTGTTCCTTCTAGAAAGGTCCTATTGTACACAAGGATAGAACAGTTAAATAAATTTGTTTCTACTGCGATATAAAGTGATAAGTTTCATTACATCATTTTGTGTTCTCACCCCTGAGTAATTGCACAGCCCAAGACTTTCCCTTTGGGTCTCTGGACAATCATTAAGGGAACTTTGCAGCCTTTGCACACAGATATATATGCTTCTTAAATATTTTACTAAGTAATTGAACTAGTATTTTTATCTGTAATTAACTTTCTCTCTGAGTAAATGGTCTTGGTTTTCATTTGTGATATTAATCCTTAGAGCAAAATAATATTCTAAATATTAATGGATATTCCTAATCTGCCACCACCCCCCACTTTCTGTCATGAGACAGAATTATAGATGGAGATTGGATTGAAGTTGTCAATGATTTCATCTTGCTTGGATCAACAATTAACATTTTTAGTACCAGCAATCAAGAGATTAGGAGACCTATTACATTGTACAGTTTACTGTCAGGGATCCTTCAAAAATACTGAAGAGCAACGATGCCAGTCTCAAGAATATATAGTACTCCTGACTCAGGCCATGGTCTTTTGAATCAATTACAACACATCTGGGAACCAGACAATGAATAAGAATTATACAAGAAGAATTGATGCCTTTGAATTGTGGTGAAAAGTACTGAATATCCCATAGATTTTCAAAAGAACAGATACATGTAAGGAAAAGTGCAGTCGGAATGCTCCTTGGTGGCAAAGATGGTGAAGATTTGTGTCTCATACCTTGGAATGTTACTTGGAGAAGAGACATCATACTTAGAAAAGTGGAGAATCAGCAAAAGAGAGGAAGACCCTAGATAATGTGGATAGACACAGTGACTGTAGCAAGGGACTCAAATGTGTCAGAAATTATAATGGTGCAGGGTAGGACAGGGTCCAGGTCTGTTGTCAGTGCAGTATACATTATTGAACCCATCTTACTCAGTCTCTCCCCAACCCCAAGGACAGTCCCATTCTACAACAGTGGCATCATGTAATATTTGTCCTTTTGTGACTGGGATATTTCACTCAGCATAATGTTCTCCAGAGTCAACCATTTTGAATAATATTGCATGAGTTCCTTGTTTTTTAATGCAGCATAGTATTCCATTGTGCGAATATACCACAGCTTCTCTAGCCATTCGTTTGTTGATGGGCACTTAGGTTGTTTCCAACTCCTTGCTATTGTGAACAAAGCTGCAGTAAACATGGGTGTGCATGTATCTGCTTGGATGTCAGCTATGGTCTCTTCAGGGTATATTCCCAGTAGTGGAATTGCTGAGTCAAATGGTATCTCTATTTGCAACTTTTTGAGAAAGCGCCATACTGCTTTCCACAGGGGTTGCACCATTTTACACTCCCACCAACAGTGAATTAGGGTTCCAGTTTCTCCACAACCTCGCCAGCATTTGTTGCTTGCTGTTCTGTTAAATTTTGCTATTTTGACTGGGGTGAAATGATATCTCATAGTTGTTTTAATTTGCATCTCTCTTAGGGCTAGGGATTTTGAGCATTTCTTCATGTGTTTGTTAGCCATCTGAATGTCGTCTTCGGTGAAGTGCCTGTTCATATCCTGTGCCCATTTTTCTATTGGATTATTTACCTTTATCTTGTTGTGGTGCTCAAGTATTTCATAAATTCTGGATATAAGTCCCTTATCTGATATGATATTACCGAATACTTTTTCCCAGTCAGTGGCTTCCCTTTTTACCCTACTGGAGAAGTTTTTGGATGTGCATAGGGATTTGAGTCTTAGAAGGTCCCATTCATCTATGTTATCTTCTCCTGGTTGTAGCTTTTCCAGGATACTGGGAAGACTGTTTATGGGAAGGCTACTTAATGCCTTTGGTTAGTTGTTATTATCCCAGAGGCACGTGGTTCAAATCCACCACACCAGATGCTCTGCTGCAGAAGGAGGGGAATCTCCTCCTGTACCTGTCAGATCCAATTTAACGGTACACACCAAAAAAGTAACAAAAAGTATTTTTAGATCAATGGAATCGAATTGAGAATCCAGAGATCAACCCATCTATCTATGGTCAACTGATCTTTGACAAGGAGATGAAATCAGTGAAGTGGGGGAACGACAGCCTTTTTAACAAATGGTGTTGGCAAAATTGGAAAAATATCTGCAAAAGACTCAAGCAAGACCCACACCTCACTCCATACACAAAAACCAACTCAAGGTGGATCATGGACCTAGGACTAAAACCAAGGACTATAAAATTCATTACAGAAAAGCTAGGAACAACACTAGAAGTCCTAATCCACAACATAAACAGGTTATATTTTTAATGGATATATTTTATGGAATGGTTTTATACTTTTAAGGAAATATTACAGCAATATTGTTAAAGCACCACCATCTAAACTGCTAGCAAAGTAAAAGTATAAATTTGTCACGCAAGTCAAGAGTTCATTGTCCTTTGATCAGAATAATTATCTTGTTTCTGCCCCAAAGGTGCTTTTTACCTCATTCACATAAATTATTTATGAAGCAGGGAACTCTGGTGACTTATGGTAAATTGTTTCACTGCCAACCCTAAGGCATTAGACCAAAATCCACCAGTTACTTCATGGGAGAAAGACCACACAATTAATGCTGTTGTTGCTGTTGTTATTGTTAGGTATTATCAATTGAGCACAACTCATAGCAATCCTATAAATAAAAAAGTGAACCTTGTCCCATCCAGACAATCTCTGACACACTCATGCCCTACAGTCACTGTGTCAATCCATTTGGTTGAGGGTCTTCCTCTCCTTTGTTGTACCTTTTCCTTTTCAAGAATGATTTTCCTCTTCAAGGAATTATCTCCTCTAGCAATATGTCCAAATATGTGAGATGAAACTTTATTGTCTTTGCCTCTGAGGAGCACTCTAGCTGCACCTTCTCCAAGACATATCTGTTTGTTGTTTTGGCTGTCTGTGGAATAATTCAGCACTCTTCTCCAACACCATAGTTCAAAGGCATCAATACTTCTGTCATTCTCATTCATTTTCCAGCTTTCAGATGCATAACAAATGACTGAAAAGACCATGGCCTGACTCAGGTGCACCTCAGTCTTCAAAGTAACTTCACTGCTCCTCAATAATTTGGAGAGTGTCCTGGTTACAGACTTTCCTAGTGCTATATGTCTCCTGATGTCCTCACTGCTAGTACCAATTGT